GGCGTCACGTGCAAAATCACTTGAGGGGGGGGGACGACGGCAGAAGGGGCTGCGAATAGTGCACACGTTCGTTCGTGTCGTCCCGGGGGGCAAGCCAAAGGGATCACGTGCATAAATCCCTGGGGGGGTGGGGGGACGAAAAAAGGGGTCGGCCCCGTGGGTAGGAAGTCGAGATCGAAAATTGGCCCAGAAAAAAGTCGATTGTATCGATCTCGGGCATCCGCGATCTGAACTATGAAATCAGATCGGAAATCAGATTGCGATCTCCAACATGCACCCCGCTTCGTGAGCAGACTTGCGGGCCCGTAGCTACCAATCCTAACCCTCTTGTGACTACACCCCGAAACGAGTTCCGTTTCCAGTTCTGTCTACTCTTGTAGGCGTTCGACACTTCAACGAACGCGTCCTTAGGTACAGTTTTCATCTCGACGTTTATCCCGTTGGCCGTGCACGCGTCCCGAGACCCAGCGACGTAGCCGCGCTTGCCATGGCGGATCATGGAAACGTCGCCCCAAGACTTGTTCGTCAAGGTGTATACGATCACGGGAATGTACTTTACTCGTAGGATACCGCTGAAGGTGACATGACACAAGAACCACCCCCCCTGGACTGACGTTTCACAGCTCGATTTCTCCACAGCAGAAAGGGTGGCGGTGTCGAAAAATGGCGGCGTCGGAACCGTCTCGTCTTGAGCTTTCCGAAAACGCATCCATTGACTCACACAACCTTCGTCGTGGAGTAACAGAGCTGTGAAAATAGATCCAAGGTTGTGTGATATCCTACGTCGTGTCGCCTTCGGTAGGTTGCACGCTGCCGTAGTTTAGGCGATACCGCTCGCTCCATGTGATGGATGCTAAAAATCGATTACCGATTGGACCGTGTTTCGCGCCCCGTGATCAATGGGAATGCCTTCGCGAGAAATCAAGTTTAAGAGGAAACAGGACAGGGAGGGGGTACGCAGACCCTATCCCTAACCCTAGCCCCTTGCCCGGCTTCCCCGATTGCGTGCTTTCTCCAACATGTTTACTTCAAAGAAAAACCCTGCGAAATGTACTGGATTATGGGTGTCGTTTCTTCTTACCTGTAGTCTCCGGCGTGTTGTAGTGTTCCTTGCTCCTCCATCGATTACACGCGTCAGGGCCTTGTGCGCAATGTGGCACGTGCATCGATCGTGAGACGAAGCGGATCGATTGGCCAAACTTTCAAAATCTACAATAACCTGGGTAATTGTGGCTGCATCTCGAGTGGGCGTGTCTTCTTTAGGGCAACGTGCTAGCAGTGCTACACCATGATCCTGCGCGTCGGGCATTTCAAATTGCACCGAACAAAGCATCGGACTTCGCACTTTACACAGCTGTACATCCTAATGCTCTGCAGCAAGGTATAACCGTCGCTAGGTGGCAAAGGATACCACACACCCCTGGACCTTATTTTTTACTCTACACGACGAAGAGGATGCCAAAAATCAAATTGTACGTTGTCGGAAAGCTGCTGACGAGACGGTTCCAATGCCGCGATTTCGGCACCGCCACTTGCTGTATTTGCTGCGGAGCAGTCGAGCTTTGGAAAAGCGACTCAGGGATGTGGAATGTTCTCCGACCAAGTAACCTTAGGCTCCCTGCATGAAGGATGACAAAACAAAAACATGTACCATATGTACTTGCGAGGTTTGCGGGCGGCCGGTACTGCTGGGATTGTAGTTTAAATCCAAGGTATTTGGACGCCAAAAAAAAATCGAAAACGACCTTCCGGCTGTAGGTGTTCCAGCCTGAATGCTACCTACTTCTAGACCAGGAGGGAAGGGCGTGTTGGCACGCCCATTTATATCTACAAAGCCTGATGTGTTCATTGCGGGATAGATCTACGAAGCCAGGTCTGTTCATTGCGGGATATATCTACAAAGCCAGGTCTGTTCATCGCGGGATAGATCTAAAAAGCTAGGTCTGTTCGTTGCGGCCGTGCGGTCGAGGCTTCAGCATTTTAGCTGCGAGTCTAAAAAACTCTGCGAAAATATCATCGTGTACAGGAAGACTTAAATAAATTCAAATAAATTCAACATCCACCAGGCTTTCCCCCCCCCGTTCACTGGAAGGACTTCAACCCATCCCCTTCGACTACTGCTGCGTTTACATCTGGAACGGCCAAGTCTCAGTGTGGTTGTACACGTGCACTACAGCAGTCTCTTAAACTCTGGGTCCATACCGTGCATGATCCACCGCTACTACACGCGCCGTCACAGGACCCAACCCCCAGAACGCCCGTGGCGGCTAGTGGTTTGAGCTACTGTACTGCTGTACATCCACGCTTCAGGCAGAACGTTGGGTTTGTGATGTCGCAGACACATGGAACAAACAGACAAGTAGTCGGTGGATCGTGAACGGACGGTATATTTACGGACGCAGATTGTTGCGGACTTTTATCGGGCCGCTGCTGGCTGCCTTCGACACAGCACGGACTGCCCCAGCAACAGACCTGGGCGTACCAAGGCGCCCTTCTCTGCTCTATGATATCCTCTACTAGTGTAGTGCTTCTGGCTGGGACTCCAGTACTAAATCAGTGTTTCTGGCACTACTGCTACTGCTGTAGACTACTGCGGTGTCCTGAGTACCGAGTGGGACACGGATGTAGACTGTGAGATTTTGTCTTGATCTTAGAGGGGAAGGGAAGACTGCTACGCGGGGCATTAGCGCACCAATCCCTTGCCCGCCAAACTGCTGATACCTCGACGTTGACGGCGCTCGACGTCCGCTCGCGGGCAAGATCTTCGTTCATGACACCGGCAGCGGATTTGCACATCCAGTCGCACGTGTTTGATGATGTGTGCAGTTCCACATCATGTGTGTGTGGAGTCAATGGCCCCGCCATATGAATAACGGCGCTACTACCCCTTCTCATATCGCGTCCCCCCCCACTCATCACAAGAAGCCCCGAACCCTGGAACCGGGACGCAACTGCGCAGGCAGCAGGGCCGATATACGACAGAAGGGAGCGAGGGAAGCATTAATCTGTATGGAAGTTTAGGCGATTTCGATGGGCCGTCAGACTCTCGTTACCACCGAGTACTAGAGGGTTGATTCCAAGAAGGTGAGGCCCGACAGAGAGAGAGGTGACTTGCCATGGGGCTCGCTGCATGGGTTTGTCTTTTTGGAGATCAGCGGGGCATCCACAGCAGCAGTAGCCAAAATGTTTGTGTGCATGCTATGACGTGCTACACTAGTGCTGGCTGCTGCTGTTTACACGGCAGCCGGCACATCTCCTTCACGTTGGAGTCCACCGTGGGATGACTACATGGAGAGGTCGCAGTTGATGTCCCGGTGTCGGCTTGTGTGGCAAGAAATTCAGCGGCATCTGCTCCGTCAGTAGTAAGTAGTTGTATGGTTTAGGTGCACCATCTGTGTGGCAGGTTGCAGGTTCGACGTATGCAGCAAATAGCACGACCGCACCCAGCCGAGAAACCAGCTGAACCAGCTTTATCCCTGCCTCCACACGAAGAAAATGTCCCCTACGTGTCCACGAAGAGCGCCCAGCCAAGTATTATTGTTCACGACTTCGAGCTCGCAATGGTACATGCGTTCACCGCACCGCGCTTGTCTGCCTACTGCGGTCTTTTGTTTTACAATCCATCCATCATCATCATCGATGCTTAGAAATTACAGCGAAATACAAACCACCACATGTGAAAAACACATCAAAATTCCTCACGGGGGGCACGCCCTGTCCTGTCCAAGAGTACGCAGATGTTGTCGTAAATCCCTGAGCTTTCACGCCGTACAGCAGGAGCACTACCGCAGCAGTAGCTTCGGCGATTAATATGTTTGTGTGCAGCGGGGGCTGGGCGATCTTCTTATATCGGCCGTTCTTGCCCCGCAAGACCTTGCGAACATTAACGTTGATGAACGTTTTGGGGGCTAGATCGGCTTTTGGAGACACTTTTGTTGGTCCCCATCTTCTTCACCTGCTTTGCCTCGCGAAGAATGGCATGGTTGTCTCCTTTCGCCCTTGATCTACCGGTACAGTACTAGACAACGGGGATGCCGGGGTTCACCGGGATAACAACTGTTTGTATCCATGCATATGGTGTGGATGCTTTGCACAGCTAGTGGAGGAGTTGAAGGGTAAGTAACAGGTCGAATCGCGGGACGATTATGCCGCGGGTTCAACAAGGAGGTTGGGCCGCGTCTGTCTACGCTTGACCCTTGGGTGGAAAGCACAATACAGCAGTAGGGGCAAGCTCGGAAGAAGTACCTACTACAGCCCACCGATGAGAGGAGGCACCGGGCCAACGTAGGGCTTGGGTTTGGAAGGTCTCGCTTTCCCTCTCGAGGAATTTCTTGAAATCCTCCTTTGCGGGACCCGGTCCCCTTCGTGCCCCGTTTACCGCCCTCCCGCCAGTTGTTCTCTGAAAGCCCTATCGAATGTCCCCAAGAGCTTATGGAACAAACAGCTCAGGTGGGGAGGCAGCTTTCACTTGCACCCAGCGATGGACTATCTGCATCATCCAATCAGCAGGCATCGTGCTTCTATTTTTCCTACATTTGAAAAATTCGCAAGCGCCGAGTTTTGCAGCGTTATGTACATTGTTGTTGTTGTTGTCTTCGCATTAAAAACCGTTCCGATCTCTCTCTACCCAGTACCTTCGTATGTCCGTACTGATACAACACTCGACGCGGTCGATTCCCGTGGTCGCAGGCTAACTTACCCTTAAAAGGTACACTCAAATAAAATGGACCCGAGGGGTCCGCAAGTCAATAGAAATCAACGCCAGATATTCTGGAGTCCTCCACTCCCTCTGCGCGCTATGCGAGGTAACAATTGAGACTAGGGGTCATCATCACGGGCCGGAGAGAATGAGGTACACCCCCTTGGTTCAATCTTGGTACTTCACAACGCAAGCAGAGACCAGACCATCTGGCATAGAAAAAGAGAGAAAAAGATAACAAGAGAAAAAGAGAAGAAAATAAAAGGAAACAGTAAGGAAAGAGAAAATGAAATATAAAGAGCGAGGACAAACAGGGACCAGGCCGAAAATAACAAGAAATAAGAGACAGAAAAAGGCACACGGTGGAGAGACCACTAACGACAAGCAAACACGCAAACATGGCAACCAACCAGCGGCATTACCCGGGTCAGACCCCTTGACCGACCGGTAACACACCGAAACCAGCAATCGGCTTGACCGACCGGTAATTTCGTAATTTCCGCCAAAAGCGGGGATGAGTATCTACTGTCCCCGGGGATTCCAGGTTGTTTTGTTCATGGTGCTGTGTGCTGCTCGGAGCGCTGGTACACTACCTCAATACACTGTTTTGATGCTTTGACGCTGTGACCCCACATTGTTGGCGTTCTGGCACCTTCTTCGTGTATTCAACAATATATAGAGAACGATGTGGTCTAGGTAAACAGTAAGCAGTATACTGAGAAATGCTCGGTGTTAACGTAACGCTACAGTACAGCTTTTTGCCTTTCAATCATGTATGGCAACAGGGCGTCATGTGTTGGACATGTTTGTTAGTTGGTGTGTGGGCGGGTGATGAGCACGATGCAGGGAGGGCTGCTGGTGCGGCTCACCCCTCGTCTACAGCTCCACATCTGACAGCACTATCAATCTATCAAAAAAAGAAAAGGAAAATCAGAGTTCGAGATGAAGGCTGAATTTTCTGCAAAGTTTATCACGTTCCCGTACATGGCCTCCTTATCTCGTCCCCGAGGAATTACAGGATAGAAAAAGAGAAAAAAAATTATCTATCTACGAGCCAAAGAATCCGTCAACGAGACCATCAGCAGCTTCCTCCACCATGGGTGCCCACGAAAGCGCGCTCCAAGAAGTCACGGTGGTCTTTCAGTTTCGTGTGTCAGAGTGTAGGTGGTCTGCTACAGCCCGGAAGGGACACCGTGTGGAGAGCTGCAGCAGCTGCGCCTTTGGCAAGACAAGGGCTGAGGGGGCCCCGCAAGTGGAATGGGGGGGGGCGCGGCGAGGTTTACCGCAAAACTTTGACTCTACCGACCCCTCCTACCCTTTTCCTTTCAATTACCGGTAAAGGGTAATGTACATCACTGGTTTCCTGTGCGAGGTCCCTGTACAGCCAATGGGTGCATCCTCCTGATGGTACTACCGCATAGGAGCACGACACAAGATATCACACCCCCTGGACCGATTTTCAAAGCTCGATTACTCCACGACGAAGAGGATGCATAAACGAAATGATACGTTTCCGGAGGGAACTCTCGACCAGAAGGCTTCAACGCCGCCGTTTTTGGCACCGCCCCCCCCGGTGCTTGCCGTCGGGGTTGGGTTTTCGTCGCTTGGCAACGACGTTGTAAAACAAGCCAATTCACTTCGTGAACT